ACTCCCAGGGGAACTACTTCGAGGATGATGGATGAATTTAATACCTGAGATAAGTGTACGGGTTTTTATAGGCGCAGTCTAGAAACTTTCCGATCGCACCTCGTATATATATATATATATATATATATATAAATCATCAAGCACTTTAAAATATACTATAACAGCTTTCAGCGGAATTGGCAGCTGAAGCGTGCACCAACCACATGTACTGTGCCATGATTGGAAGTAGTGGTGGTAGGTGGAGGGGCAAGATAGTGAGGAAACAACATCGAGTGGTGCCAGATGTAGTAGCATCGCGGAACATTGGATTCCACAACACTACGCAAACAACATGTAAGTATTGGCAACAATGCATTGCGGCTACTGATGCTTCTACCACGGGGTTTCTGAACAGACTTGAGGTCTCCCTGCTTACCAACAGACCTTTGCACTGATTGGTCACTCACAAAGAGCAGAACTCGACTCAGCCGCCAATTCCGCTGAAAACATTACGTGTTCATACAATAAAGCTCCTCGTGAGTTGTCGTTGATAATACATCCCTCTCGTTTCTATCACAGATTTCAATTGTACATACTGCCATTTTTCTTGCATGAGGAATAACTGTGTAGACACGTAATTACAGTGGAACCTCGATATAACGCGGGTTTCGGGGGGGACGACTTTGGTACCCATGTTTTAAGCTACCCACGTTTTTGTGAAATATGTAAAACATATGTAATCATATTGGGGGACATGATCACAGCTGCGGTATGTCCGAGTCCGCGTTATAACAAGGCGCGGCATGTCTAGGTTCCACCGTATTTAATTTGAATACGTGTCCTTGTATTTGTGTCCAACTTCACAATCAGACATTTTTGTTTATTTCCATTTTAACCTTTGCCACTGCTTCATCGTGCTACATTTTCTGTGAGCTGGACTGAATACACATAAAGCCTTTTTACCACAAACTAGGGATTCTAAAGAAGTAAGAAAAATCGTACCCTTTGGAATACACAAAAATTCCAGAAGTATTTTTTACACCACACAACGGCTAATGTGATATCCTCAGTCGTGTATAAGATGGCAGTTAATAATAGAATCTGTCTTTGACCACATGACTTTGAGGATCTTTCTGTTGGTAACACTATTTGTAGGAAATTAAGAAGTACAAGTTTGGACTATCCTGTAAATGCATATCCTCCTTACCAGAGTTTGTAAAAATCTGATCAGTCCCTCTCGAGTTATTGTTATCTTAAAAATGTACAAAGGTTGCAGTGAGTGTAAGTTTCCAGGCTGGGCCGTGAATGAATAAAACATGTATTTAATATAATGTGCTTTCTGCCTGTCCAGTTAGTTACTTTAACACCTTAAAGACATCCTCTTTAACATATTTAGCTCACAGATACATGTTTCATCTTACTTTCCTCTTCTTCTATGGCTCTCCGGTCCGTATTCGGTCCATGGTCTCCTCAATTCTCCTCTTCCATTCGGTCCTATCCTCCGCTGCCTTCTTCCAATTTCTAATCCTCAGGAGCAGTGTGGCATCCGTTTGAACTGCATCCTCCCATCTGTTCCTGGGTCTTCCAACTGGTCTTCTTCCTCCAACACTTCCTTTGAATACCATCTTTGGAATTCGGATGTCGTCCATCCGAATCAGGTGACCTGCCCATTGAAGTCTCTTGTAACCGCTCATCAATCCCTCTACTGGTGTATGCTGATTTTTTTTGTACTTGTAAGAAACGCAACTCTTGTGTGATAGATCATGAGGTCTTTTTTTGTTGTCGTTGCATTAGCCACGTATTGTCATGCTTTATTTTGTCAGTTTGTGATTTCTTTGTATTTAATTTGTACTCTGGAATCGGAAATGGACATCTGGTTATGAGTGGTACAGCGAGATCTGCAGTACGTGGTAACGCAGAGGGTTTCAGGAATTTCCAGACTTGTACATAAAATTGCCTGCTGCTGGTCTAAATGGGTCGGCCGCTCGTTAGCGGACGCCCTTTGGGAAATTGACAGTGTGGGAGAAACTCCTGAGGATCAGTGGGAAGGGGAAGGTCCTTCGAACCGATGTGCCTTTACGTTTTGGGCATGTTGTAGGCGTGGGATCGGAATGCACATGTGGTTATAAGTGGTATAGCAGGGTGTGAAGTGCGTGGGAACTCAAGAGGAGTTCTAGAAATTTCCAGACTTGAGAATTCCCTCGTACATAAAATCACCTACACTTGGCCTAAGTGGGTTTTGGCCGCTCATTGGAAACGCCCTCTAGAATTAACAATGTGAGGGAAACTCCTTGAGGATTGGTGGGAAAGGGGAGGTCCTAAGAACCGAACCTGGACCCACACCAATAGGAGTTGAGGTTACATTTCCCTTTTGGGAGAAGTGGGAGATTTTGATGTCCCAACCGTATGGGTGTATACGATATAAAAAGGGTTTTTTTTAGCCGCAGGGGGTATTATTATTATAGCACGTTACACTATACTACATTACGTTAAGTTGCAGAGATTCGTACATGTGTACGAAGGTGGCTATGTATTTGTCAGAAGTGTGGAAGCTGTAAAGTGTACAACATCAAGTGTAGGACTGCGTGACGTGGGATCAGCGTATGTAGATCAACGATCACGCAGGTCCTAAATAAATAGAGTTCCACCCAATCAATCCGAGCGTTTAATCGTGCTGTTACGACCTGGCTGTTACACCAAATGAGACGGAGTCGACTCATACCGACTAGCTGAGCAGAGCAAAGAACCCAACAATCACTACCAGCCACATCGTAGCGGACCCTGCGATCACCCAAGAAAGAGGAAGAACGGTTACACTCTTGATTTTTATAAATTGTGACAATGGTATGTCTTTATATAATTTATAGATTTCCTGATTAGTTTTTATCCTCCATTCACCTGCTTCTTGTGTTGGGCCGAAAATTTTCCTCAGGATTTTCCGTTCAAGCAGATCCACTTTATCTGCTTCATTCAGGTCGAGTACCCATGTTTCACTCCCGTATGTCATGCTACGGATGAGAGTTTTATATAATGTGATTTTTACTTTATTATTTATTCCATGGAATTTTATCAGTGGTAATATCGAGAAATATGCTTTATTAGCCGCTTGAATTCTGCGTTGTATTTCTACCAATTCCTCATTCTTATTTGTTATGCATACTCCCAGGTATGTGAATCTTTGCACCACTTCTATTTCATGTTCCTTGATCTTTATGTGATGATCTAATGATCTTCTCCTTCTTGTTTGTATTAAGGCTTGCATCTTACTTTATCGAGGTTTGTTTAATGACGCTTTCAGTATCTCGGAGAATACAGTTTAAACGAGAGTATGATTACTGAATAATAAATTGGAAAGGATGGGTAAGGAAGTGATCATGGCTCAATTTAAGGTACTATTCCAGCATTTCTTTGTGTGGACTGAGGAAAACCTCAGTCAGGATAGTTGACTTCCAGGCTGAAATTGAACCCAAGACCTCCAAAATACAAAGCAGAAGTGTTAACCACCTTGTTCAGTTGGTATGAAATAGGCAGACGTCACAAGAACAAAGTCAAAACTGCGTCTGCAAACTGTGTTGTCTGGTTTGTAACTTACAACAGCTGAAAATGTGTTTTACAATATGCATGAAGGACTTAAATAGCTGTCGTGTTATTGTTTTGTTTTGTAATAATATTAATTTCCAGGACTTTTTTTTTTTCAGAATGAAAGAGTGATGAGGTCTAATATATTCCATTCTGTATGCATCTAACATCCAGAAATGTAAATTTAAGTGTCAGTAATCAGTTATTTTTATGACAGTGGAACATAGTCGACCATGAAGCTGGAGGCGATGTATTGCTCTATAATGTTGGTAACTACGATATTTCATGCAGTCACAACCCAGAAGGCCACAGTTGGCAGAATAGGTTATGTGAAGAGTCTAAAACTTCTTGACGATGGTGAAGAGTCAATTGAATAAAAATTTTCTTGGATACCTGTAATCTCCGAAGAAATCCAAGTTGTGCATCGAGTTTCGTATTAATATTCATGTGTATTTATTCCCACCTTTTGTGAGTTTTTGTTTTTTGGCTTTATCGTGTTTATGAATTTTGATTT